AGAAAGCAAATTTAAATATATTAACCAGACCAAAGCATGTAAAAGATCCAATGATACATACATTAAATAATAATATGCTAACGGTATCTAATTTACCCACTTCACATTATGTCACAAAACTACTAGTAAACATCAGTTCGAAATTTGGTGAATGGACTCGATTCCCAATTTACGTATAAGATGTGGCACACCCTTTGCGTGTGTGTGGTTAACTGGTTGTAGTGCAGCATCTTCAGAGAAGTTTGGTACTGGTATATATTTACCACCTATAGTGCAGTAACTAATGGCTAGAAATGCATTCTCCTAATTTTCTCTATGAACTTAGAGAGGGCATTAATGAATTAACAACATCAGTTACCAAGGGACCCAAATTCCTTTCTATTCGCATTTACGTGTGTGCCCCTTTCATTCTATTCATGGCACCTCACCTTCCCTTCCTTTCTTGGGAGCTGTGGGAACCGCTGGGGAGACACCTGGCTCAGGCCGCCTGGCGCTGGGGCAGCGACTGGCGCAGACCTCCCACGGTGCCACACAGCACAGGCGCACAGCACAGGCACACGGCGCCTCCGTCCGAGGCCCACAGACCCCAGCGCCCAAGCACTGGCCTGATTCCAGGGCCTGATTCCAGGCTCTCCTCCGTGGCCAACCTGCGGCCTTCTTCCTCCCCTTCCGTCACCCACATGTCCTTGCCCCAGGCGCCCAGACTCCAGTTCAAACAGAACTTCCTGAGAAAGCAGCCCTGAAGCCACAGAAGTTCAACCAGCCAAACTGGAAAATCACAGAACACAGAGGGGTGCAGCCGAATGTGGCCTTCAAAACAGAAGGTGTAGAGACCAGGGGCAGGTATACTCAGGGAAGACCAAGGATGGGCAGGAGAAAGTCAACTCATGGGCGGTCCCCCCAGCTGCCACGCAGAATGGAAACCCAGAGTGGAAACCGCAGAATGGAAACCTATGTAGACACAGGATGTCTACATAGGATAGGACCTCTCCGCCCCTCCTGGGTCTCCTTGCCTAGGCAGGCAGCACACATCAGCTGAGGCCCATTCAGACGTTGCCAGGTTGCTTGGTGAGAACTGAGAACAGGTGCTGATATGGAGTTTGCAGTTGGTGCCCAGGAGGGGGTAGGCGGGGCCGAGAGGTCCTATCCTATGTAGACATCCGTGTGTTGGGACCGTGTGCCTGGATACTACCATAGCTCCTGACTGGTCTGCTGCTGCACGTCTGGTTTTCACCACGTCAGAAGTTGCTCAGAAACTTCCTATAGTGTTGGGAAGGCTCCAGTTCCACCCCACTCAGCCAGGCCCTCAATGCCCTCACTCATTCATTCACTTACTCATTCAACAGTGATGGAGACTGTTCCTGGCCGTGCACTAGGACTATGAAAACACCGAGGAATAAGATCTGGTCTCACCTTCAAGTTTGGGAGACAGAGAGATAAACAGAGGAATGTTCTCCCTCTTCCCCTAAAGCCCCTTCTGTTCCAGCCAGACTGCCCCAGAGTCCTATGAACACCCACCTCTGTTGTCTCTGCTGCTGCGACACCATCTGCTCCTCCCCCTACAGGAGCTGAAAAGCAGCCCACACTGCAAGGCCCGGCTTCAGCTTCCTCTCCTCCTGGAGCCTCCCTGCGGCTTCTGGTCCCCAGGGCCCCCCTGCTCCTCCAGTCTCCTCTAGCACTTGGCTGTAGCAGTGGCACTCGCAGTCCCCTCACCACACACTGGCTGCCTCACACACAGCCTTCCCTCATGGTGTAGCTGCTGACTACAACCGGGAGACCTTCGTGAAGAGCAGCAATGGCGGTCACCATGGATCCCCTACCCTGGACCAGCCTTCACTAAGTGCTCACAGACACACTGTCTTGTGGCCAAGGCTCTTTTGGCTTGTCTTCCCTCCCCAACTAGATGACAGGCCTCTGCGGGCAGGCGAAGGTACAAAGCAATTTGTCTCTAAATGCCTGGCACAGTGCTTAGTCGTTACTGCTCAGCTGATTTAACAGGTAAGACAGTCTCGACGGGAAACAGCAGAAAATATTAAGGCGCCGGCTGCCCACCTCTGCACCACGTTGTGGGACCAGTGGTGCAGGGCCAGGGGCAGGGCCGGCTACAGGGCCACCTGACTACCTGCTGACTGGAAAAAAGAGGGGTGGTCGGTGCCTGTCTGGGAGGCCTCCTCACTGCTCCCGGACAGGCTGTTTCTCGCACATCACAGGATCCTACAGGAAGTGGCATAGGTAGTAAATCACAGAAGTGCCAGCCTAGCGGCACCAGCGTGGTCCAAGAATCGGAACTCTGTCCTGGCACTGCTCGGCGAGCTGCCCCATTTTCTCCATGCACAAAAGTAGCCCCAAGAAAGGTGCCTAGACCAATGCCAGCAAGGTAAAAGAACGTGCCTTAGACAAGGAGCAGCTGGAGAGAGGCGACGTGCATTATTCATCTTGGAGTCTCCAGGTCTCGGCCCCGAGCCTCCCGACAGGACACGCGCACAGTTTCGACCAGACAAGTGAAGGACTATGACCTGGTAGTGCCCATTCCCTTGGCTCCTCGATTTGCCTCCTGGCTGCCCCTTCCTTCTCTAAGGAAAACGTTCTATACCCAGAAAAGGGAAAAGCTTTTCCTGATCATCCCACTCTTTTCCCAAGTGTTAGTTAATGCTGAAAAATATGCTCAAGATGGGGTAGAATAAGCTTTCAACAAGAATGCATTTAACAGATTTTAAGAGGCTGATGTGAAGAAAGACAGGCTTCTTTCTCTTCCACAGACTCCAAACTCCTAAACAGTCCTCTGCATCCTGGGAGATGGGGGGACCCAGCCATCAGAAGCTGAGAAAAAACTAGGAGAATGGTCTCCAGGTTTTAGGTCAAAATACCAAGGGCTTTGTGGGAACAGAGGGGCTGGGATGCTGTAGAGACACGTCCGCCCGTTCACTGATTCACCTCCGCCCACAAAGTGGTCGGCCCCACAGGGAACCTGAGAAGCCCCTGTGACCTGGAGGGAAAACGACACGTTTACCTGTCTAGTGGAAGAATGTCTAAGATGGGAGAAGACAAGGTAGAAGACAGACCAAGGAGAAGGGCTGGTAATGAGCAACATGGGGGTCCGGGATCTCAGGAAAGAACGAGCCTCAGAAGGGCCGTCTCGGTATGTCAGAAATGGCAGTTCCCTCGTTTGTCTTTGGGAAAGGGGGACGCGTCTCCTAGGGGAGACTAACTCCCCCACAACACTGAGCAGGAGCCCGAGAGCTTCTGAAGAGGTGGAGGAATAAAGCTCTCCAAGGAAAAACTCTGGTCCCTCCTAGGACTTGAGATGTGATCAGGATACCAAGGTGCAAACTCCTGCTCTTCAGGTAAAAGCCAGGGGCCCCCAGGCTGCCCGCTGCCCACTGCGATAGCTCAGCAGCTCCTGGCACCAGCCCATCCCCCCAAATAATCACGGAAAGTTTCCTTAAGTGTCGACCTGCTGCCTTTTGCCCCCACACCTAACCTGCACCCGTCCTCATATCCCATCTGGTTTCTCAGCCACTCCCTTGCTCACTCCCAGGCCCTTCCCTGACGCCTCCTCTTCCCGCTGAGCCTTCCCCAGAGGCGTGCAGTCCTCTCCTGGTCTGTGTCCCACCCATCCCTCTGAGGTGTCTCCCATCCAACTCCTGGACCTCCTAGGAGCCTACCTTACAGCTTCTGAGCCCCTAGGAGGTCAATGATGATAACAGTAATGAAGCCAGCATTATTCTGTTTCACCACGTGTCTGAGTGTGTGCTAAGTGCTTTTACAAACATTATCTCACTGATTCCTCACAACGCCTTGGTAGGTAGGTACTATTGTTATTCCCATTCCACAGAGGAGAGACTGAAGGTCAGAAGCTTAAGTGATCCTCAAGGTCATGTTGCCCCAAAGCGAGGTCGGCAGGTCTGTCTGACAACAAAGACTGCCTCTTAACTGTGAGGCCCTGTTCCTCCTGGCGCCACCTGCTCTCTCTCCTCTCTTGGCAAGAAGTGTGTGTTGGGAGGCAGGGCAGAAGCTTCAAGAGTAATGGAGTGCTAGGGCCCTGGCTGGCAGGAGGGGGACCTGGGCAGTGCTGAGGCTCTTGTGGACATCGGTCAGGGGACCTGTTAGATGTGGGTGGAATTCCCTCAACTCAGACCTCCCAGGAGAGGCGCCCCTCAGAGGGGAGACCACCATCCCCTGCCAGAACAAGTGATCCCATCAGAGTCCTGTCTGGGATGCCACCAGGCCTGTCCCTCCCAGCACAGGCCCCGCATGGCCAGATCAAGGAGGTGTGTTCTCTAAGGTGGGTCCTGCCTGCCTTCTGACCCGTCTGGACAAGTGGTCCTGATGTTCCCCAGCCTCTTTCAAAACGGGTGCTTCGGTCAGCTGCTTTCCCAGAACTGGCTAGTAAGTGTCGGTTTCGCAGACCGGGGGCATCTCACCTTATCTACGCCCCTCTCCAGGTGTCCCACCTTGTGGCTTACCTTCCCAGCTGTGCCCTGGAAACTCAATCTTTCTGGCCCCTCCCTCCCTTCCTCCCACTCCAGGATCCACACTGGGTCACCCCTGAAAGGGGGGGGGGTACCCAGTGACTCAGTGACTTGGCTCCGCACTGTGAACTCCTCACGCAAAAGCTTTAATTTACCCCCCTTCTCTACCTGGGGGTGTGGGGGTGTCATTTCAGTGGTTAAGATCCCGGCTGCCCCAGCTCAGGGTACCCAGGCCTACACCCGCCCCGGTAGTCTCGGCTTCGGTGGGAAGGTTCCCCAGCGCGAGCCCGAAGAACCCATCTCCAGTCACAGCAGCAGCAGGGACCCCTCACCTCCAGGAACCGAGGCTCAGGTCCCCAGCCGGGGCCTCTCACCTAGGGGCTCGTGAGCTCGTCCTGGCCTCTGGCCTGCCGCCTTCGGCGGATGAGGCGAGCAATTCCTCCCGGGCTGGGTGGGGAAGGGGAAGGGGCCCCCGGGCAGGTGGAGGCGGCGGGGAGGGTGAGGCGCCCCTCGGCCACCGCCCCTTACCGATGGTGGAGATGTGCGAGGAGTGGAACTCGTTGTCGGTGAAGCGGCACAGCAGGCAGGTCTTGCCCACCCCGGAGTCCCCGATGAGCAGCAGCCGGAACAGCACATCGTACTGCTTCGCCATGGCTGGGGCCCGAGGAGCCCAGGGCTGCGGCGGGCGGCGGGCTCAGCCCCGCTCAGCCGCTGCCATCGCGGCGGGCGCCGGCCGGGGATACCGCGGGCGGCTCCGAGGAAGGCGGGCCGGCCCCCCGCGCCGCCCGCCCAGCTCCGGAGGTGCCGGGGAGCGCGGTGCGGCGGGAGCGCGGAGGGAGGAGAGAGCCGCCCCCGCCCGCCCCTGCCCTGCGCCGCCGCCCGGAGGGGGCGGGGTGCGCGCGCGGGAGGGGCCCAACTCCCTGTGAACTCCTTCTAGACCCCCTTCCAACCCCTTTTTGACGGGAACCAAACCCCATGGGAAACATTTTGGTCTTTTCTGCGGACATTCTGAATGGGTGAGTTGGCGTGAGCTCCCAGCAAGCCCCCCTCTACTAAACTCGGGTTTTGGGTTTCATCTTTTCTCCCCACATCCCATCCCGAACCCGCCAACAGGCCAGTTCCGCCTCCCCCGAGCCCGCCCGCACCCCCAGCACCCCGCCCCTTCAGAAGCTTGGTGGCCGTGGCTGCGGGGGGCGCAGTGGGTGGTCCCCACCTGGGTTCTTCCCAGGGCGAAGGCCTTGATCAGGGTCTGCATTCGAACAGCCATCTACTCTCCAGGAACGCCGGAGAGTGTTGCTGGAATCCTCCCTCTCCGCCCTCTGGCCTCCCCATACCCCTGTGTGACTGCCCTCCTCCGTCCCCGTCCCCCCCGCCCCCAGTGTTTCTTTAAACAGGGAAAACTGCTGACCTTCACCTGGCTGAAAAGCTACATGATCATAAAAACATTTCCAAATGCAAAATCCTTTGGAAATGTTGTGCAGGCAGAAGTCTCTGTTTTGGGTCTGAGCCGCTTAGGGTAGGCGCTCAGGATTTCAGTACGTTATTTCAAACCACTAAGTATTTCTGTTAGCGTGCACAATGGCACCGAAGAATGAATGGGCCTCCTTCAAGACCTAATTTACTACCGCTGAATGTGTTAACGCTTCTGAGAGGCAAATAAATGTTCTCTGGAGTCTAGAAAATTGCGTATTCCTAAGAATGAGTATTAGGGGAGTCTAGCCCATTAGATCTTTAAAAAGCGATGGGTGTGTGTGTGTGTGTGTGTGTGTGTTGGTGTGACTGTTTTCAGGCTGAGTACTGGATGGAGAGTGTGCTTTTCAGGAGTGGGTCAAGGAAAGCAGTAAGTCCATTTACTTGAATAATTGTATTTCAGGCAAAGCATCTAAATTTATAATAAAGAGGAAAAGATTCTGAACCCGATAGCTACTTCGATTACATTAAAAGTGAAGGAAACTGATCTGAATTCCATTAAGATTCCGGGGTGTGTTTCTCTTCTCTGGATTTACACTGGGGCTTTGGTGCTCACTGAGGGTTCTCAGGGCTCCGCGGTCGGGTGTCCCTGGGTCCTGTCCCAGCCCCTCCACTCGTGAGCTGTACAACCTTGAGCATGTCATGGAACCCCTGTGCCTCAGTTTCCACATCTGTAAAATTAGGGTGTCCTCACAGGATTGTTGGAAAATGTGTGGAAACACAGCACTTGACAGTTCTCAATAAATGCCTGTGTGTGGGGGGGGGGCACCCTGCAGTGTTCCCCCACCCCGTGCACTTGTGGGTGGTAGAGGGGTGTTTTCCAGGGCTCAGGCCTGTCCTGCTGTGATTTTCCTCCACAGAACACACACAGCGAGCGCAGAGTGCGAGTCAACGCAGCCTGACCCCACGTGGGCACTGCAGCGGCCTTCCCGACCATCGGCCCTGTAACGGTGGATGCTCTCCACGGGCCTCCTTGCTGGGGCCATTTGTGACTCGTGACTCGCCGATTGCTTCCGTCTGGGGGACCAGGAAAGCAGTTGCGACAGGTGAATTCTTAGTCCAGGAGAGAACTCACTTTGAAGGAAATGACTTTTCCCAAGCAAGACAGGAAAGGAAGTGAGGTTTCCTGAACAAATCCAGGGAAATAAATGCCCAGACTCATGAACAATGGAGGACATTTTATCCTGCTGGACTCGTCTCAAGTGCAGTAGCTTACATTGCTTAAGAAAGTGGAGGAGGCCCAGGAACAGAGTGTGGAAGCTCCACGCTTTCCCCCCACGCCTTGACCCAATGCATTTCTTCTGTCTGGCTGTTCATGATCTAGATATATATATATATATATATATATATATATATATATAATATATGATCTAATATATTATATATATATATGAAGAAACAGTCTAGAAGACCAGACTTTTAGATTTTCATTATCATCTTGGCTCAGCTACTTGAAAGGTGTGTCTGCAGAGCCGTCATACAGACAGACCTCCCTTTCTCCTGTGTGTGTGTGTGCACACGTGTACACACCCATGAGGTGTTGGAGCTGAGAATTCGGGACTGTTAGCAAAAGAACCACCTGACTACTAGAGACAAAAAAGTTTGCTTTCACCAGGGTCTTTGTCAAGGAAATGCCTGGTTCTATCCCCTTCCCTCATTCACACAGTGGGACAGTTTGGCATCCTCTCCAGTTGAGGTCAGCTTGGCCTGGGGCAGATTTCAGTAGAACTGGGCAATATCTGAGGAATGGTTGCTGGAGGTCTCACAAGAGTCTCCCAATTACATTATTTTCATTCTTTCAGCAGGGGCACAAGCGCTCACCCCTGCTCCCCACCACCCCCAACTAAGCCACACTGAGCATGCTCCCAGCAAAGGCATCACTGTGGGATCTGCCATAGCAACAGCTGAATAAGTAGAAAGAGGAACCGATAGGCAGCTCACTGCCGAGACTCAACGCAGGTTGCCCGTGGACTCCTCATCAGCAGAACCCTGTGCCCCCTGTAGACTCACGTCCATGTTTCCCGCTCTGGGTGGCTGTGAGCGATGTCCTCACCTTGCAGAAAGATTTTCCACCTGCTAGGATTAGAAGAAACAGCACAGACTCCCGGCATCATCTCAATACTGTCTTCCATTCACATTCCTTTTCTATCTCTGATATGTCGAGAAAGGGGGAAAGAGACTCTGAAATGACAAGGAAAGAGGGGAGAGGGCAAGTTTCAGACAGTTGTGCATAGTGGGGTTGGGGGCCAGAGAAGACAAGCCCAGTGGTGACAGGTGATTTGTGTTCACACAGAATGACCCACCGCGCCATTTCGGGTTGTCCTTGCTGCTCTGGCCCCCACCTTCCTGACTGTGTTAGTTTGCTCGGGCTGCCTAACAAACTACCATAGACTGGGCAGCTGAAACAGTAGAGATTTCTTTTTCTCACAGTTCTGTAGGCCAGGAATCCACGATCAAGGTGTCAGCAGGGTAGGTTTCTTCTGGGCCCTCTCTCCCTATACCTGCCATCTCAGGTTCACCTTTCCTTCCTGTTCCACTGTTATGTGCCCGCCTGTGTCCTCATCTCCTCTTCGCAGGGGGACGCCAGTCACACTGGATTAGGGCCCACCCATATGATCTCACTTTACCTCCATGACCTCTTTAAGGGCCCTAATGCCAAAAATACCTTCAGTCACATTCTGAGGTATTAGGGGTTAGGACTTCAGTATAAGAATTTGGGGTCAGGGGCCACGATGCTGCCTATGACGAGGAACAAATCCAGGAGCCACAGCAGATATTTCCCATGTACAGATAGTTTTTGGAATGATTTTAGTCTCTCAGAGCAGGAAATGAAAGTTGTGTCTTTCTTGTGGCTTTTTGATTGGTGGTCTAGACTGTCGATGCAGAGGTTTTGTGATGGGGAAGCCTCAGAAGATACTTTTCTTTATGAGACTGGACCTGAGAGACGTGACTAGCAAGCTCCAACCAAACAATGTTTGTTGCATTGAACTTTTATTGTCAAAGTTATCTTTTGGGAGACAAAGTATAATGTGAAGTTAGGAATCTTTGCACAGCGAGTCATTGTATTAGTTAAGGTGATGCTAGTTACTGTAACAGACAAACCCCTGACTCTAAGGGTTTCACACTGTTAAGATGTATTTCCCTCTCATGTAAAGTCTAGTGGGCAGCAAGGAGGTGGGAGTGGGGGTGCATAGCTTTGTTCTCCAAAATCATTTAGGCTCCCAGGGTGGCAGAGACTCTGTAACAAAATTCACACTATGGGAGTCGTTTTAAAAGCCAGACATTGCTTTTCATTAGAGCTGACACGCAAGATGGTTGGTGAAGAATGCCCACCAAGCACCAGTCAGGAAACAGCACATCCCAGTCCCTCACACATCAAGACTGCAGGCTTTCTCTTTTAACCGAGTGTGTCCCTAAGGCCCCCTCCAAGATTGGCTGGTAGAAAGCAGGGAGGAGGGGCTCTGTGGGGAATATGAAACTTTGGGACACAGCACAGTGGGTGGGAGGTTGACCCTGTAGTCACAAGGTAGCAAGCTTCAAAATAGCTATTTACAAGGAGTGGCATCATAGACATTTGAAAGAGGTCACAATATTTGTCTATGAAATTATCTGAATATGTAAAGGGATTAAGCCATCTGTCCAGTGGAACAAAACACTGAAGATCTATCTCTTTGTTAGCTGAGATTTTTTTTTAAAGATTTTATTTATTTATCTTTAGAGGGGAAGGAAAGAAGAGAGGGGGAGGAATATCAATCTATGGTTGCCTCTTGTGGGTCTCTTGCTGGGAACTGGCCTGCAACCCAGGCATGTGCCCTGACTGGGAATCGAACCTCGATCCTTTGTTTCACAGGCCCGCGCTCAATCCACTGAGCTACACCAGCCAGGGCTGTTAACTAAGATTTTTAACTTTCAGATCACAAGGCATGAATTTCTTTTGAATATGAAGGGCTGCCCTAGGCATTGAACTTCTGCTGGCAGAGGAGAAGAGAGGAAAGAGAGGATGGACGAGAAGGTTTTAAAGGGCCACGCCCGAATGTGCAGTGCATCGCTTCTGCCCGCACGTTCCATCAGCCAGAGCTCAGTCACAACACCCTGCCGAAACGCAAGGGGGACTGCTGGGCAGCACTGCCCAGCGGCAGCAGCCCCACTGTGGACGGGGAGCAGACCTCTAGTGGACAGCTAGCATCTCTGCCATATAAGGAGAAGTCCTGTGGTGGCTCTTAGCCCCACCCGTGTATCAGCATCACTGGGGGGGGGCTTTGCAAAACTACATATGCCTGGGCCTCAGCCCCGGAGATTCCGATTCTGGAGTCGTATTGGGTAAAATCTATGTTTTAAAAAAATACTCTTATT